TGTTTGTGTTATATTAAAATCTTTTTTAATCTCTTCGATATAAGATCTCTATCGAATAAAATATAAGATCGATATAAATTCGATATAAGATCTCTATCGAATGGAAGGTTTCCAAGACTAACATCGGAAAGAAGATTCTGGAAAATCTAAACCCGGAATTGTAGTCGTTTTCAATTATATTCTTTGAAAGATAAATATTCGGAATAGCTGGGAAAGTTACTTAAGATGTATGATATTCAGTTAATGCATTAATTCACCAAACAGCATTTTGTCATACTTTTTCAGCGTTTAACTAAAAATTAATTTATATAATTAATTAATTAATTTAATTAATTAATTAAATTAATTAATTAATTACAAACACATTGCTTCTCCAAAGACTTTTTCAGCGTTTAACTGAACAGCGTTGTTTAACTGTTCTCCTAATTACAAACACATTGCTTTTAATAAAAATATTTTTGGATGTTTGAGTACTTTGTTTCTTTGATCAGGCTTATATTATTTGAAACGAAAGAAAATCATGCTTAGACAGTCGTTTATTTAAAGCAAATACTCTATACATTTGGGAGACAATATGACGCGGGTAAGTCTCCTTTTTTTTTTTTTTTTTTTCAGTATCGTATGTCTACTTTAAAAGTTTAATTTGGTTTACCCTTATAACGGCTATATGAAATCTCTTATTGCACATGCATATAATATTTAACGCATGCGCAGTGAATTCCGTATTTAACTTTCATCCGAAATTAATGATTTTTTTTCATTCATTATTAATTTATTAGGCATCATAGAAATGTAGTTTACATTTTATAGATTCCAATTTGGAAATGTTCATCCCGGCTTAGAAGGAAAGGAAATTTGCTGTTGCCAATAAAATAATTCATTTTACAATCACTTAATTTTTTTCTTTTAAATTCATTTGTAGTGATTGTAGCCTCTTGCGGTCTTTTAAACAAAACAGCTGAACACTGGTAGTTCTCTCTAGCTAACAGGCTCCTAGCTAACAGGTTTATTGCTCTGTGCTTTTGTGGATTTCATCATGTATATCGTGAATGAAGCCACATCCCCTATCTTCATGAAGGAATCCTATCGTAGGCAGACAGAAATCACGTGCTTTTTCATAATTAATGAAACAACTAGTTGTACAGGTTTCAAGTATTATCAGAAAAAATAACTTAACTCCAAAATTATCATCTAGCTTATATAAATTATCACCTCAGTATATAGGTATATCATCTCAGTCAGAAAGAATACAAATTAAAAATTCGTGCGTTTGAAAAATTAATGTTTTTTTTTTCATTTATAAACTCAGTTAAATTTTCTCATTTGATGAGATTTTATATACTTTCAGCGTTACGTGATAGCTACTGTTTGTGGTTTTGAACTCGAAAAAACGGGTAAGGGAAGTGGAAAACTTAGGCTATGAGCAGTAAAAAGTTAGAAAGTAAATCAATTAATTGTCTTCGAGTATTTTATAATGCATGTTTTTACCTAAATGTTATTTTTCAAAGTTGTATTTGATCAATTTTATCTTTCATAAGAATCGAAATGTTATCATTCATGCTTCAAATCCTCTTTAGAAAAACGTGTTTATTTGTACAGAAATGCTCTAATTTGTCTAAATATTGATCACCTTATAAGGAAAAAAAGGCGTTATTAATTAATGTTTTAAGTCTTATGCTTTCATTCGTAGCTGCAAACTATGTTGTGTTCCAACAAATAGCAAGAAATTAAAAAAAAAAAAAAAAAAAAAAAAAAAAAAAAAAAACTTTCAGTTAAATATGAGAAAACAAGGCTGTAAACCCCGACCTCTTAGTTTGTATAATGTATTGCTTCAATTGAATATCCAGAAATACCCTTTCATTTTATAGCCTTGTTTTTCTTGTTATTTGATCCAAATAACAAATTTTGGTGATCTTGTTATTTGATGATTTTTATTTGACCTCGAAAAGCAGTTACTAATACTTTATATCTGTTTGCCTATAACTCTCCAATAAACTGCTCGCCAAATTGCCGGACAATAGTAAGGCAGATAGAGAAAAGTTTCATGGAATTTTTGCATTTCCCCATGCGTGCTCTTGTAATGTAACTGGTAGCACATCTGGCTAGCAGTTTGAGAGCTCAAATTTCCGTTACAGCATACTTTATTTCCCAAGTTTCTCGCTTCAAGAATATAATAGTTTTAAGAAGCGCACTGGTAGAATATGTCTTAGAATTTTTTTTTTTTTTTGTTTTTTGTTTTGCTTTTTTGAAGTGAGTTATAACGTTTGCTTCTCTTAGCTGTCATATATTGTAACCAACTCTAAATAGACTGACAGCGAAATATTGGTCTAAGAGCAAACGACAGAGTCTTGAGAACGTTCTAAAAAAACCTTTTTTCATCAAATCAGATCTTGAACATAGTCTGTAAATGTATAGTGTCTGTGCCACATGGGGTACTCTAAATATGCGGCGAGTCGAAAGGCCTCTTGAAAGGTTGTTGGTAGGGGAAGAGGGATGAGAGACCTTTGGATACGTCCCCCGCGATGCTCTGCTTCGAAACTGGGGGCGGAACAAAACAAAACTGGGGGCGAGTAAAGTCGTATTGTCACCTGTATGGTGCTCAAGGCTGTTGCCAACGACAGGTGCGATCCTGCACTCCTTGCCAGGATGGATTTCGTGCACTTGCTCTGATGTTACTATGGGACAAGTGAGATAAGTTACAACAACAACAAAATTTTAAACTGAAGCGTGAATCGCAGAAATATAGAAAAGAAATCGACACAGAACATTGATTGAAAAAAAGTCACCAATCTAAGACACTTCACATTGGCGAAAGAATACGGTTTTAAAATGTTATTTTTCAAGCTAACTTATTTATACATTCTTGCCAATAAAATTAGGCCTGAAATATTTTGCTTATTGCTAGTTTAAACCTTTTTTTTTTCCCATTATTCATTAGTGTAGGAAACCCTTCATGCTTTTTAAAGCAACTTGTTTATTTTATATCAAAATATAAATAACTATCAACGTAAATTGCAAAGATTCTTTTTTTTTCTCCATATCTCTTTTAAGATATCTTACCCTTTCCTTTACACGAATTGCTTAAGAAAGAAATATGAAAGAAGAGAACTATTGTGTATGAAAGAAGTATTTTAAGTTTAAATTAGAGCACGCTGTCATCGGGCATAAAGTTTACAATTAATAGAGGTCAAAGTATAAAATTGGGAAACTTGCTATCTATCAAATGCGCTATTATGCAGTTTTGAACGATGACATATGCTTTAGATTGTCAGGTATCAGTATTATGCTTTTTATAATAAGATAATTTTCCATTATTAAAACCTTTGTTGATATCATATTAAAATGAATTAATGGAAAGTTAATTATGGATGTAAACGGGTGCCAAATTTAAGTCTAACATTATAAAGTGTTAATACCTGAAAAATATTTGTATGACTTGAATATTGTGGTCTTATTGCATACTTATACGTACCTATGAATTTCTGAGACACAATCAGCATAAACCTAGTTTGTTATTGATAATACATTCATTATATTCACATTAATCTTGCAAATTTAATAATTAACATGTTGATGATACCTTGTTTCCTTCTTTATATGGTGACAAATGCTCATCCAGTGATGTAACGTTTAGAATTTTACTACATCTATGGTATGAATGCATCAGCAAACGTACGTTTTAACGTTTTAACGTGAGTAAAATCCAGATATTTCATTTGCAGAAATATTTAGTTTCATTAATCGTGATGATATTCACTATAGTATGCAGCTTTAGGATTTTCCTACAAATTTTAAATCTAAAATTTCTGAAAGAAACATTTTAAATTTTGCGTTATGTGACTGCTTATTAGAATAAATTATAGCAAATTTTGTGTAATTTAAATTATTATGAAACATTTTATAAAAAACGCTGAAACGAAAAATATAAAAAATGCTACAGATTTTAATTCTTTTTGACCTTTTTTGCTAAAAGTTTACATTTAATTCATAAACAACTTTATATCAAAATACAACTGGAATTTTTGAAGCTGAAACATCAGCAATACTAGGAAATCATAAACTCATTATTTTCCAAGGTGCACATTCTCTGGGTTCCACGATGAAATTATTTTGCTTGATGATAATCATTTACTGAAGAACTTCTTCAGCTAATACTCTTTTTTAAAGTTTACTGTCTTTTAAGCAGTATTTATATTTGATTCATATTAAGTTTTTTTTGTCATTTTTTCTAATCTCGGCATAAAATTTGTTTTGGAGGGAAAAACTTCTTGTTACTCTTCAAAATTACTCTTTTTGTTCAAGAAGAAAGAATCTTATCCTGCATTGTGCTTACAGAAGAAAACATCGCGGACGAAAACATGGGAAAACAACTCAAGGAGAAAACATCGGGGGAGAAAAGGAAACAAGGGGAAAACATCGTGGTACAAAACATTTTTTTTTCTTTTTTTATACGGGGCAATGGCGGTCCCTCAGCCGACTTCGGCTTGGCCACTTCTAAGGCCAGAACTGGTGGTCACTTTATTATGGAGCCACCTAAAGGTGGGCCACCTTTGTCTCCTATGAAGGGGCAGGCGGTTACAACCATGCCTTCTCTGAGATTCGAACCCGTTACCTTTGGTATCGCAGTCGGATCCACTAACCACTATACCGTCTAGGCGGCTCAAGGTACAAAACATCGTCGTCAAAAATAAGTTGATTAAAAAAAATCCGCTTTTAAAAACATCGTCGTCGAAAATATCGAAAATACCACACGCAGTATTCAAAATCATTAACTTCAGATATTTTTGCACCCTACCATAAACAATACCAAAAGTAAAAGTTTTTAAGTCAGGGAAGATTTTTGAATTGCTCCACCTTTCTACCTCCAATGCTACGAAACAAGATAAATAGAGTAGTTTCAAACTTAGCATGTTATGCAATCACGTAAGTGGAAACTGTCTACATTTTATACCCAAATCCCAAATAATACAACTAAATAATACATATGTGTATATACTTACATAACTTTACAAGAGAAAGATGCGCCTATGGTGGGTGTGACATTTAATTTAAAATGTTTCATACTCAGCTGGAAAACTATGCTTGTTTTACCGACACCTGTAATGGGAAAATATAACGTATAGTGGAAATAGATTCTAATATACATATAATTTTAATTAAATTGCTTAAATTTATATACAGCAAAGTATGAACAAAATTTCTTGATTTTTTTTTCTTTAATACATTTTAAAGTTGTAATCTTTACAACCTTGCTGTTAAAAACGATAAAAATGTAACATTGAATGAGAAAACTGATAAAAATCGAGAAATTACATACTGCTGAAAATCTTTAAAAGGATATGATGTGGAAGAGACAGAGGGAATATCAGTTACAAAGGCTTTAAAAGCTTGCACAAAAAAAAAAAAAAAAATACCTGAAGATTTGGAATGTTAAAATATTTTCTTGATACACTATTGATGGTCCTACAAAACGATTTAAAAGAGATAGTTGTAACTTGGGGAATGAACTTACCTGTTTTTGTGACTCCACATAGCTGCTGTCTGTTTTTTTAGTGCACATACTGTATAATGTTTTAATAAATTTACTTTTGTAATCCCCATGTTGTTGTGCATTTGTGGTACTCGCGAACTTTTTATATGTTCAAAAATAAATAAATGAATAAATTAAAAAAATAAAATAAAAAAATAAAGCTTTTATTCAAGATTACAAATAAATGCAAATACCAAACTGATCAGTTCTTACAATACTTATAGAGAAGTGAAAGACGCTTTCAATTTAAATTTTCTTTTAATGCATTTAATAATAATAATGCTATAAGATACTGAAATATTTCATGCAATGAAAACGTACACTCAAATTGCTTTTGTTAACAATATTCGTATTTCGTGTAACATTTAATTCTTTCAATCCGAGAATATTTTGAAAACTGTTATCATTTTAGAAAAGAATTAGAAGTTACCTTCGGAACTAAAATATTCATACATCATTAGTAATTACACTTTCAAAGACTAATAAAAATAATTCACTTACTTAAAAATCCATTAAAAGCCAAAAATATCATTTAATGCAATTTAATAGAGTTATTTAAAGGCTCATAAAAATTAAAATACTGAAGTATTTTGATAGAAATGCTATTACAGTATATTTCCATATGCAATTATATGTATGATTAAGACCTTTTTTTTCAAGTAGGAATTTTAGGTACAATGCGCATTATTGAAATACCTTTAAATTGTATCTTTCAAAGCCAAAACTACCAATGATGAGTATATACCTAGCTCTTTTCATAAAGGTTTTTTTAACTTTCTGCAAAGCAAATAAATAATTTGCTATTTTAAAATAAAATCATACCAATTGACTCGAAAAATATTTAATTAATCACTTCATTTAAAAATTATCATACATCTGATGTATTAAAACTAAATTCTCATTTGACATTTCATCTTTTTTCTGAATTTAAATATTAACAAGCTAAATGAAAGGAAAAACAAATCATTGCTAGTAATATGTAACAGTTACATGTGAAGGACAAAAAGTAACTTTTTTAACTGATAAAATGACCTTATTTTAATATTAAAGCCAAAGAAAAATAAAGTATCCTACCTTGTGATCCAATGATGCACGTTTTAACGGAAAAGGAAGAGTTATGCATCATAAAATTTCTTTTCACGAACTGACCTGAACTCAATATAACTCAAAACAAATAATTTATAAGAGACAATGAGCACGAAATCTTTCTTTGACTGCCTTCAAAGAATGCTAGGAAAAACCAGCTGCATTTCCTCCAGTTTCTCACTGGTTATCAAATTTCAACAGGTTTAGTTGCAAGTTTTATTGTAAATTCGTGCACCAGTGCGTTGAAGAATTTGAAATACTATATTAAAAAAAAGTTTTGTTTTAAACAATAGTAAAACTACACCAAATAGAACGCTAAACTATTGGGCGCAAATGTCAAACAAAGCGGCCGAAATATCAATCTGATATTTTCATCTGACTGTGTTTGAATAACCAAACAGCTCAAACAGCTGAAGAGATATGAAAATCAAATTCCCAAGCTACTGTTATCATAAACCCAACTTCGTCCTACAAACTTCAAACGCTATCAGCTGGAGTTTTTTAACGATGTTTTTTTAATGGCCTTTGATGACTAATTTGATTCCAACACTTTGCTTATCTGTCTGCATATAGTCATCTGGTGATACGCTTTCTAAAAAGCCCACTTTTTAGCGACTAATGCTGATGATCTCAAACTGGATAGATAACGAAATTTTGTTGACAACAAATAAAACGCAGTGTATTAACATCAGGTTTTTATTTCATTGACATTTCTAATAATTCAGTAAACTTTGGTTTCGCCAAATATGCAAATAATGTTTTTAAAAATCTTCAGTTGTTGATAAATCAGTAGCGAATTACGATTCTGGATTTTTTCAATAATTATTTTTTGATTTTTGAAACATTTGATTTTGGAAATTTGCATATATTATAAAATTGAACAGGCATATATATGGTAATACTTCATGAGTTTGATGTCTCGTTCTATCTAAAGAGTCTAATCATTGCATTCTTTACGGTAGGAATTGTCATCATAAAATAATCTGTAAAAATAGTCGTTATATTAGTCATATTTATACTGTAAAATATATATATGCATGCATGAAAATTAAAAAAAGCTAGTTTAAATAAGCTACGCGTAGAGCAAGCTAGTTAGTTTAAATAAGCCTGTATAAGCTACGCGTAGAGCATAATTTATTTTAAAAGAGAAGCTCAAATCTTTGTTTAATTTGATGAAACAACAACTGGAAAAAGAAAGCCTGAAATAAGAATTACAACAGCAACAATAATTATAATAATCGTAAAATGACCTTCTCCATCTGAAAAGAAGGAGAATTATACATTTGAGTGCTTAACCCTTAAATATTCATGTTTATTATGACCTTGTTTATACATATATATATTCATTTACATTAGTTTTGTGATTTATGTAGACGAAGTTTAGAAGACAAAGTCTGTAGAAGGAAAAAGGGAGAAAACCGGAGGAGCATGGGCTATTTTTCAAAATATTAGGGGTTATTTTCCATTGATATTTATACCAATAGATTTGCATTGTTACAAAAAAGTACTTTAAAATCTTTCTATAGCTTTCTATAATTAAGTATAACTTTCTTTCTCCAAATAACTTATTTTTGCAACAAAATTATCGCAATCAAAGTTTTAAAACAAAATCTCTTTTTAATTTTTTTGTATAGTAAGACCTGCTAGCTTTAATTTTTTTGGTATTTTTGGTACCTGCTAGGTTTGGTATAGTAACACCTGCTAGGTTTAATACCTGATAGGTTTAATAAGACTTGCTAGGTTTGGTATAGTAGGCTGCTAGGTAAGACCTGCTAGGTTTAATTTTTTTTGGTATAGTAAGATCTGCTAGGTTTGGTATAGTAAGACCTGCGAGTTTAGTAAGACCTGCTAGGTATTTTAAGGTGCTGTTGTGAGAAATATTTAGTTCCTTTGTATGACCTGCTTATAAGGCATTTCGCAGTCCTCCTTCTAATTCTCTTCTCTCCCTCCTTCTTCTTCCCTAAACTTCTCCATAGCACTATGCTATGCAGAAAGCATACTCGGAGCGTATTCCAGAGGTCCAGGTTCAAGTCCCGGTGAGTGCATTACTCATTTGTCATGTCTCCTACTTCAAAATAATCTAATGTCTCTATATTGGCGCCCGAACTGAAGAAAGGGGGATGGATGTTGGTTCTTCACCGCAAAGATTTGGCGATTGGGTCCCCTAATTCCCAGTCGCTTTTTAAAAGGGGGAGTATATAAGGTATTTTACCCCTCCTTTCTGCATGGCTTTGTGGTGTAGCGGTAGCACACTCGGCGCATATTCCAGAGGTCCAGGTTCGAGTCTTAGCTAGGGCACTGCTCATTTTTCATGTCTCCTATTTCAAAATAACATAATGTCTCTACATGCTAATCAAAATAAGTTTTTACCGTCCTGCTGGAAAAATATCTGGAATGTATTTCAAATAAATTGCTTTCTTCAAGATCGTAAAAATATCGAAATATTATGTAATCAACAGCAGTTACTCGTATACAAACCCCAAAGAAAACTATAAAATAATAGAATAATGCATATAATTGGGTGCAAAGGAAGTTCTGAAAAGCCAAATGTGAGAAATAATGGTGTGTTTATTGTTCAAAATTGTATTTGGTTTTTCGTATTATGATGTTTATTTTCATATTTGATGTTTTTGCATTCATCTGCCTTTGCGTACGTAAAAAAGTTCTTGTAAATATAAATTTAGGAAAATAAGGTCATTATATAGGTCAAATCTTAAGAATCGATAAGGTCAAATCTTAAGAAAATTTAGGTCTTTCTTATAAATAAAAATCGAATGACTTGATTGCCAGGTAATCTTATTATTATTTTAGAGAAATGCTTTGCGTGTTTAAAAATATAAGCTTCATTATTTTAAATGCTATTATATAAGTTTCATGTCAGTTGTCGAATTTATTAATTATTATTTATACATTATTTCGAACACCATATCGTTTGGAAACAAGATATTTTAACTTCTCCGAGCGTTGTTTGTAACTGAATGTATAAACTATGTGTAATCCTTAAGTAATAAATATGTTTCGTTCAGAGTAATTTCTCAACTTTTCATACAGTGCATTATTTAAACTTTTTACCAACAGTTTTAAAGAATGGTGGCGATAGTCTGAAGAGGAATAATGTTTAGGAACTTCATAACTAATGGTCAAAGTTTCTTTAAAATAAATACTTGCAGTGCTGTTCCATTTTATGCGACTGAATAGTTGCACATAATTAAATTAGTTAGGTATGTTTCTTTTACACGATTCGCTTTCAATACATGTTTCCATTGCAGCATATAATGAACAATCATTGTATTAAGTAATTAAATTTTTACTTTTACATGCAGAAGCTCTATGGACAGATATTTTGTGAAATAAATTATTTAGCAATACCATCAAGGTGATTATGTTCAATCGTTTCACATCAAGTTGATTATGTTCAATCGTTCTCACATCAAAGTGATAATGTTCAATCGTTTTCACATCAAGGTGATTATGTTCAATCGTTTTCATATCAAGGTGATTATGCTCAATCGTTTTCACATCAAGGTTATTAAGTTCAATCGTTTTCACATCAAGGTGATTATGTTTAATCGTTTCACATCAAGGTGATTATGTTCAATTGTGAGCTGCCCAGACGATATAGTGGTTAGTGACCCTGACTGCCCAGAGTTCGAATCTCGAAAAAGACATGGTTGTAATTGTCCTTCCTTCCATAGGAGGCAACGGTGGCCGCCTATTAGGTGCTTCCATAATGAAATGGCCCTTACTTCCGGCTTTTGTAGTGGTTAATGGCTATTAAATGAAGCGCCCGGCCATTAAAAAAATGTTGAATCGTAAAGTATTTTCTTATGTGAGTTTGAATTTTTAATTTTTGTGAATCCTCATGTGAAATTTATATGAGATTTGAATGTGTGAAAAAATCGATTCGTCTTCGGTTGCAGTTTTAGAAATGATATTGTGATGTACTTTGCATACCTATTTTAGTATCTCTTTGCAATCTCTGAAATGCATAAGTAGATTAATGCGGAGTAGAAGAAAACTCTCTTTGCACTTTTTTTCTGCGTTAATATGCCTAGAGAGTTTGGTTTGTTAGATTGTGGCGAACATTCGAGGACCAAAGAGAAGGGATGCCTTCGTGGAGCAGTTTCTGAGGGAACTGGTTCGTATACACGTTACACATGGGGAAAAGCATGAAAACGCCCAAGCAGTCAGCCCGTTGGGTAGCATTCGAGCCCCCGACCGAACTACCAAGATTCAGCGACTTTACTACACGGCCGCTCGTGGGCCTGCCTAGAGAGAGTGGTATGTTTTAGAAAGAAGAGAAAGAATGCATTCGTTTTTTACTCTAACTAATTTGTTAATCTAGAATTTCTGGGTAATAGACTAGTTTATTTAATTAAAGAAAACTGGTGGAGGGCTAGTTGCTACGGAAGGATGCTTTCGGAAAGGATATTTTAAAGAAAATTAACTCGTATTCTTATTATAAAGTTAAATCACGAAACTCCCATGCAGGTAACTGTTCGCCGGTATTTAGACTCGGTTCGAACTATCAGTATGCAGCGGTCTTTGGCCATTCTCGGCGGAAGCTCAAGTACGAATGAATATGTGGTGAGACAAAAAAACATTTATCCGTTTTGGATTCTGTTTCTGGAAAATGAATTTGGTGAATTCATGGAATTTTGAACCCCTCCTAAAGTGTAGTTGGATTATGGACCAGTTTCTTTTAAAAGTTTCCCACGATGACACATAAAAGCTTCTTACCATGTTATCTATTCCATTGGCCAACTTTGGTTCGGTGCAACGGTTTTTCTCGTCCCTTCCACCTTAGTCTTATGGTACATTTCTTGACTGATTGCTTTTCCCAGCTTATCTTTCTTTATCCCATTCTTTATCTTAGCTCTTACAAATATGTGCTACCTTCTTTCTTGTTTAATGGTTCTTTTGTTTTCGTAGGCTCCCAAAATTCGAGACCATTTGTAGCGATTTTCCTTTTTAGCCCAAAGGATGTTAGCCCAGAAGGGCTAATTTCGTTTTGAGATTTTGCGTCAAAAACTTTAAATGTCCGTTTGACTTTTCAAATTGTTGCCACCAAATATTATCACCCTGTTTTATATTTTAATAAATTAAATAATGAAGAATCTGCATAAATGAATGTGTGTTTCTCGCATTGTGATAAAACAGCAGTAGCTAGAGCCATCAAATTTCGAATAACCTAATCCTCCACCGAATGTGGGCATCTGGAAGCCCTAATTTGGAATTTGTTTTATTATCGATTTCGTATTTTGTAACACTTGAATAAATTTTTTATTAACAAACTCAACGATTTTAAAGCGAGCAATGGCAACACCGTATCCCCCCAAAAAAACACACACACACATTTTTTTTATCTCCGGCGCACGAGACGATTGTGTATTAGAAATTCTGAAGATATGCACGTTTTCAAATTATTATGCGATATTCCTGTTGAATTGAATTTTATGGTTTAAGTG